ATACTGCAGGTGTCCCTGGCACCGAGCCGCAGCTCAGATGCACTCTGCCTGTCAGGGCTGTCAGGAAGCATTCAACCCCAGGATGATTGAACATTCCCTGGAAATGACTTGTCAGGAGCTGCCTCTCCGCCTCCTCACCCAAAGCCCTCGCTTCCCAATCAGCCCAAACAGCCTAGTCCCTGGCTTTGGGAAGCAGCGCTGTTAACCCCTCCTCCTCCACGGAGCCCTCAGGTCTGGAAGGTCTGGAGGTTCTATGGGTTGGGAGCTGGCTGTGCAGTGTGGGGGAGGTGGGGGTGTGGAAGACCCAGGCATCAGGCTGCCCCCGTCCAAATGGCCACGGCACCCCTTCCAACAGTAAGCCTATTACCTGCACAAGAGTTGGTTCTAGAATCGGTGCTTGTTGGATGAATGAATGAATGACCAGAAGAGTAAACTCTATGAGATTCATTCATTCATTCAAAAATATTTCCTAAGCATCTTCCCATGCTGGGCACTGTCCCAGATGCTGGGAGGACAAAAGAGACCAAGTCGCTGTTCCCATGAAGCTTACCTTCTAGTGGAGGGAGACAGATACTAGATAAATAAAGAAATTAATACAGAAAGTAATACCAGGTAGTGGTGGATACTATGAAGAAAGTAAAGTAAGACGAAGAGTTGAGTGTGACAGATTGGGGGCGATTCTTTCAACTGGATGCTTCGGATGGCCTCTCCAAGGAGATGACATTTGAACAAAGAGCTGAAGGTCGTGAGAAAGTTGTGCAGTCATGGTGAGAACAGTAAGTGCAAAGGCCCTGAGGCAGGAAGGGTCTTGGGGAGTTTAAGAAATAGTAAAGCAACCAGAGAAAGTGGATAAAAGTGAGTCCTGGCAGGGACTTCCCTGGTGGTCCAGTGGTAAAGAATCATCTTCCACGCAGGGTACACGGGTTCAATCCCTCCTTGTCGGGGAACTAAGATCCCACATGCCACGGGGCAGCCCGCGTGCCACAACTATTGAGCTGGTGAGCCTCAACTAGAGAGCCTGCGTGCCGCAAAGTACAGAGCCCATGCGCTCTGGAGCCCGCGTGCCACGACTAGAGAAGAGAAAACCCACACGACACAACTAGAGAGAAACCCGAGCGCCGCAACGAAGAGACCGCGTTCCGGAAAGCATCCTGCGTGCCTCAACAAAGACCCCATGTGCAGCACCTAAGGCTTGACCCAGCCAAAAAGAAAGGAAAATAAATAAATATTTTTTTGTTAAAAAAGTGGGTCCTGGCATGACCTAAGAGCAGTGGTTCCCAAACATGGGCATGCATCTGAATCACCAGAAAATCTTATAAAAACACAGATCATGAGTTCCACCCCCGGAGCTCAGTTGGTCTGGGTGGGACCTGGGAATGTGCATTTCTAACAACTCACTGTGTGGTCCAGGCACCACAGAATAGAATGTTTTTTCTTAATGCAACTAGTCATTTCCTACTCAACCCTGACCACAAGCAGTCATAGATCATCACTGCTTGATTACCTGCCTCCCCACTGGGTTGGATACTCCCTGAGAACAGCCACTATGATGGTTCAGTCCCTGGTACTTAGTAAGTGGTACTCAAGAAAATCCTTGTTGAATGAATCCCTCAAAGAAGGTTTTAGGCCTTGCCTCACTTTCTTTTGCCATCCCGCTGTACATTTGGCTTCGAGCAAAGGCCTGGGTCAGACCCATCTCTTACAGTCTCCCATTCACACCTAAGACAAGAGAGTCACCTGCCATTCTCCAAATGCTCGACTCACTCTGACAACTCCATGCCTTTGCACGTGCTGTTCCATGTGCCCAGGAAGTCCCTTCCCCTGTCTCTGCCTCATAAATTCCTACCCACTTTTCAAGGCTCTCCTTCCAGAATATCTTTCCCAACTCCCTCCACCTAACCAGGGTTACGGGTGCTCCTTGGGGTCTTGTATCGATCCTTTTCAGAGGATTTGTTCACACATTTGTCTTTCTTGACTAAATGTCACAAACGGGCAGCCCCCAGAGTGAACAGGACAACAGACGTATTCTACGCAGCTGCCGTGTTTTAAATTGAAGTTCGTTGCCAAAATTTGAGAGTCAGGGGAATTCACACAAAAAAATCCAGATTCCTGGTTCCTCTAGAAAACGCAGGGTCCTGCGGCTCTGGGCCGGTACTCCCACGTGTCCATGATCTGCCAGAGCTGCCTGGGGCTCTGTCACCTTCACTTCGTGGCTCCAGCGACTAGCTCAGGACCTGGCCTAGGGTAGGCACTCAAGGAAAGCTTATTAATGAAACAGGAAAGACTACATCAAGCAATGGAAAAAAAAACACCGGTTCCAAGATCAGGAGACCTGTGCTGGGTTCCGCTTCTAGCTGGCTTGTTGCACGAGCCTGGGCTCTCTGTGGGCCTCAGTTTCCCTACCTGTGAAATGAAAGGAATGACAGTTTCTACTTCCTAGAGTCATTGCATCCAACAAGAGAGAGGACGTGAAGGGTTTAGTACGTGCCTGGCATATCTAATGCTCAATCAGCAGGAGCTCTTAGTGCAGTGAACTCAATAAATATTTACTCTCTAGGATGGGAAGAAGTGCGAGGGAATCAGAAGCAGGAGAGGTTCCTGTCAGGGGCAGGAGGTTGATAGTCTACCTGCGTTCAGTTCCCAGTTCTGCCCTTCACTAGCCTTGTGACCTTGGGCATTGGATTTCACCTCATTTGGGCCTCAGTCTCCCTGTTTATCAAACAGGGATGATGCAAGCCTCACGGGGGTTACTGTGACTATCAAATCAGCACATGAATATTAAATTAATGAATTCTTTAAAGCAATCAGAATGAGGCCAGCACTCGGTGTGTGCTCAGCAAACGCCAGCTGTGTTATAGCTGCTCAGGGAGGGGTGAGACTAGAATTTCTCAAGGGCCCTCAGGGCTCCCAAACTCTCTGATCACCTAGAACCCAGTGACAGTCATGCTGCTTTCGTTTCGTCATCAGTGGTGTATAGAAGGCCCTTGGGATGGTGGAGTGAGGTAGTAGAATTCATCATGTGGGGTTTACCACCTCTCTGGGAAGATCCAAAATGCTTACAATGGTGCTGACCAAAATCGCACACAGGAGCAGCAAGGAAAGGGCCAGAGCAGATGTGGTGCCGAGGAGGACAGCCCTAGGAGGGAGGTGCGATTATTACCACCGCCGCCCCTCGCAGATGAGGAAACTGAGGCTCCCAGATCTCAGCATCTGAGCCCCATGAGCTGCCTCAGGAGGGTGACTCACTCAAGAGGTCCTTTAAGGGATTGACAGGACAGAATGGAGGCGAAGGCAGGAAGACCAGGCAGAGACTTCGTGACTCATCGAGGCCTGAGGTGTCTGAGACAGACTTGCCCGTTGTCTCCAAAGAAGACAAGTAGGTAAGGGAAAGGCAGGAGACAGGTCTTAACCACACCACCAGGAATGACTGCCAAGGAAAGAAAATTCCAGACAACTCGCACTGTTTCACTCCCCATTCAAGGCTGAAGCATTCACAGCGATTTATAGAGCGTGTGTGTGTTCATTGCCCTGCACAAGGCTGGTAGCCAAATGAAAGGCATGTGATGGCGAATCCTGGGGGCAGGCGTCTTCCCTGAGGGGCTGCTCTTCCCTTCCAGCACCAGCCATCCCAGGGGAACCAGCGAGAGTGAGAAGAGGGGTGCATGCACCTGGCCAACATATGACAGTGATGGTAAACCCAATCTGTCCAGATAAATCTCTTCTCATTCATCCATTCGTCACCGTTGAGCTATGTCCCAGGCACCTACAGATGTTCTCTCTTCTAAGCCTCAGGACAACCTCAGAAGGTGGGTTCCACTAGCCCCTTTTAAAAATGAGGAACCAGGCTCAGGAGTGAGGTGACTTGCCCAGGTCAGGAAGACAGCAGTGACTGCAGACTGGGATTCCTGACCGCCAGCAAGAGGGGCCTCCCCGGAAAGTCCACAGATATATCCGGAGCCTCCCTGTGGGATGGGAAGTGTCCTGGAGGCTCGCTTTCATTCCGTATGTGGTATGTGACACACTGTCCATTTTACAAGAGGGGCTGGACTCAGAGGAAAGTACAGCCTCCAGTTCCTGAGTCCAACGACTCCTCTACATCCCTCACTTGTCTTTGTTCCACAGACGTCACTTTTAACACTTTCATATTTTACATTTTAAAGCGCATAATATCCCTGGGCTTTAAAAATCAGATTCCCCTGCGAGATTGATGCACCGTACGGCCGCCCTCCCCGGAATCTGGGACTTGGGGGAGCGACAAGAACCTCGGCAAAGTCAAACCAGCTCAAAGCTCCGCCTGGGCAACAGCACCTTGTCCACGGGGCAAGCGACGCTCCAGCCTCCCGCGCTCCCGACCGGCCCACTTCGTGGGCGAACCCACCTCTAGAAGGGCAGGAGGATACGACGAGTCCCCATTCCTCCCGAAGATGGTCCAAGCCAGTCTCTGGCCAATCAGAAAGCTTCTTTTAACACCGCCTCTGGATACACGACGTTGGAACTGCTTTTCCCTGAACTTTCAGGCTGTGCGGGGGCGGGAGGCGAAGATGATTGACATCTCCTACAACTATTAGTCAAGCGAGATAAGCTTGAAGAGCAGATACTACTACGAATTATCCTGCGAGGAAATGTTGTTAGCCACGCCCCCTCCTCCCACTGGTCTCCGTGAGCCTTCGGGGTGGGAGCTTTTGATGGCAGCCAATCGACGGTCAACGAGGAGGAGGACGACGATGAGGAGGCGGGGCAGGCGGGTTATGGTTTCCTGGAGAGCGCATCTGTCTCCGTGCTTGCGGCTGGAGGGTTGCTGGGTCACTATTCCCGGACCGCACTGCCAGGGGCTGGGCCGAGTACGAGAGCCGCATCGCCTCGCTGGCACCTTCCAGGCTGCCTTCTGAGGCCTTGAACCTGGCCCCATCTGGCGCTCCTGTGAGCCCCGCTGCGACCCTAGCGCCCGATATCCTCCCCGCGGGCTGTCCGGAGGGTCCAGGCCCCATTGTCCCTGTCCCCACCGCGGTCACAGGCCCCTTGAGCGCTAGCCCTCCCCACTCCCCTTCCCAGGCAGGGCCACCAACGCCTCCAGCAGCCGCTCTTCTGTCTGGTCCGTGGAGGTGGTTGGTTACCATGGTGAAGCTGGCAGCCAAATGCATCCTGGCAGGTGAGTCTGAAAACTTGCGGGTGAATACAGTCTCCGGAGTCCAGAGACTTCATAAATTGTCGAGAGCTTTTGTTCACGTGAATTGTCTACCCTCTTTCCCTTTCTGTCTCGCAAAGGCGAGTTAATGCAATTACTGATAGAGTAAATTTCATTAGGCGTGGAAGAATTATCTTCTAGAGCACATTTGTAGCTCCAGGTGGCTTCCTTCGCTCCCTGTCATACTCCGAGACCACCGTCACCAATTAGAGCTGTACTCAGGACGAGTAGACTTGTTAAGAAAATGAGGCTAAGCACACCATAAGCGCTTCAACTAAACCAGGTGCTGTACCCCAAAGTTAGGCATCAGTGACTTTGGTGGTCTTTACTTATGGGATTTTTTTCCTGACCCCAGTCTTATGCAGACAGGGATAGGAGACAGTAATGTACAGTTGACCAGAGTTTACAAAAACCTATGTGTGTTGACTTTAAGATCCAAAGTTACAGTGCTGCCTCATGGTCAGGAGGACATAAGTGTTGAATCCCCCAAAAGTGGGAATGTTTGTTTTGCTGACTGATACATCCCAAGCACCCAGAACATATATGCAGAACATAGTAAGTGCTCAATAAATATTTGTCGAATGAATGCCTGTGTGGCATGCACACTGCTCATTTAGAAAAACATTTGCCTGCATTATGGACCTGGGACCACAGAGCACAGATGTACTTTCCTGAGTCCTTACTGCTTGTCAGGCTCGTGCATTTCATTTAATCCTGTCACAGTAGGTAGCACCCTGGGGTAAGTGCCGGATTGTTCTGACTTTACCGAGGCACTGAGGTGAAGTCTCTTGCTCAAGGTCACCCCCTAGCGAAGGAAGGTCATAGGCAGGATTTCAACCCCGAGATCGGCCTAAAATTCCTAACTTCCTACCTCCAAAATTCTTAACTTGTGTTACTGTGGAAACTTGTGACCTTTCTGGGTTTATCTGACCAGTTCAGGAAAGAAGCAGTGAGAAATTATGCAGAGGAAAAAGAGATCCCTTTTTCTGATTCCTCTCTTCCAGACCAAAAAGGATGGTATTTTTAATGACTTTTCCAATTTGGAAATAAAAGGGTCACACAGAAAGTTGACTGACCATAGTCAATCGTATCATACTGAGCAAAAGAAATTAGTGGTTCTCAAGAGCAGTCTCTAGTTTCCAGTGGGGGCAGTATTGTGTAACAAAATTAATTCTGCTGTTCCTCAGATTGGCTGTGTCCTCTTGGACAAAGCACTTCTCTGAGCTTCAGTTTCCTCATGGATAAGGTGGGATCGTTTTTCTCTGAAGTTAGATTTTTTTTTTTTCTAAATGGGCCTCTCTCTCTGACTCTTCTTTCTCCTATTTCTTTTTTAAATCAACTCCCATCACGAGGCTGACTTACTGAGCACCATCTATGTGTCAGCACTGTGCTAGACCCTCACCACGGCTCATCTCAACAACCCTGTGTGGTCAGGATTATTGTCATTCTCCTCTACAGATGGGGCAGCTGAGACCCAGAGAGGTTAGGACACTTGCCCTGGGTCACACAGCTGGATTTGGCTGAGCTGGGATCTAGATTCAGGTGATATGATTTCCAGGGCTTTGTTCTTAGCCCCACACTCTACCATCCTCAGGCCTCAACTCGAGACTCCTTGCCCTTCTTTATACCCACACCCTCAGGTACTAGTTTTACCTGATTTCATCCACTGCCTAGGAAGTCATTCCTGAACTCCAACCTAGCCCTCCATCTGAAGCCTCCTTTTGAGGCCCCAAGGGTATCTATCTCCTCTTGGAAGTTTTCAGGGGCCAAAAGACCTCAGCAGAATGAATCACTGCACACAGCCCTACCTCCACCACCCATCAAAACCTCGTTCTTCACCCCACCCTCACCACACAGACCCCCTCACCGGCCAACTCTTTATTTTATCTTATTTTTTAAAACAAACACCACATTTTAAAAAATATTTATTTAATTTATTTATTTGGTTGTGCCAGGTCTTAGTGGCAGCAGGTGTGCTCCTTAGTTGCGGCTTGTGTGCTCCTTAGTTGCGGCACTGTGCTCCTTAGTTGTGGATCACTGGCTCCTTAGTTGTGGCATGTGAATTCTTGGTTGCGGCATGCACGTGGCATCTAGTTCCCTGACCAGGGATTGAACCCGGGCCCCCTGCATTGGGAGCGCAACTCTTAACCGCTGCGCCACCAGGGAAGTCCCCCGACTGTTTAAAATGGAGTCAATCTGCCTTTTTTCTCTCACATAACTAGTCACCGAGGGACCTGATAATTCAAGTGCTTATTCAGTCCACATAGTTACTGAGCACCTAGTATATGTGAGTTGCCACGCAAGGTGCACTGGAAGCACAAGGGTGAACCCAGCCAGCCCCCGCACTCAAGGAAGTGCTGAGCTGTGCATAATAGCTTATAACGCAAGAAACAGGAATCGAATGCCCTTTGATCCCAGAGAAATACCTCAAGGCACAGCTGCTAGTTGTTCTGATTCAGATGGAGAGAAAACAACACTTAACATTTATCTATATTTTATGTGCTTCCAAATCACGTAAATATTACTTAATATATATCAGGCACTGTACATGTTAACTCATTAAATCCTCATAACAATTCTATGAGATAGAAGCTGTTATCCCCATCTTGTAGATGTGGCAGCTGAGGCCCAGAGAGATTACTGACCCAAGGTCATACAGCTCGTAAGCGATGGAGCTGTAGTCTGTGCCCTGAGTGCCATGCTGTGCTTACTGCCTCTTGACATACATGGAGATGATAAACCTGACTCCCTGGAGGGCTGCTCTGATGTCAAGTCTCATGCCACCAGCAGTGAGCTGCACTCGCCATGCAGGTAAAGACAGAGGAGCGAGAAACGACCTTCAGAGGCTGGGCAGGAAGGCCGTGTTGGAGCTTTGCCTGGCAGAGCCTGGGCAGGATTAGGATTTGGATTAGGGTGACCTGAAAGGAGGTTATCTTCGAGGAATTTTCAGGGATCAAGACAACAGGACTGTAGAGCCCAGATTTTGTGTAAGGGATAGTCAGAGACAGAGTCGGAAGGTGGGGAGGGGCGTACGGCGGAAAGAATCCTTTGACAGGCTCTGTGTGAGAGCGTCACCGGAGGAAAGCACTGTTTTATGAAGATCTGTCTGTTGATGCCAAGCTCAGGGTGGGTTAGAGCAGGGAGAAAAACAAAAAGGAGAGAGGGCCAGTTGGGAGGTGTTTTAAGTCCAGACCTAGTCAAGAAAACAGAAAATACATTAGGCACTTCAACAGAGAGAGTTTAATATATGGAATTGGTTCAGCGTGTGTCAGAGAACTGAAAAAGCCAGAAGACAACGTTGTGATGACACAGAATTGGTGGGTGGCGGTCAGGTTGTCAGAAGCTTGAAGAAGAACCTCCCCCAACCCTGGGCTGGGATCCAGACCTCTGAGGAGGGGGCACTGCCTGGCTGGGGTGGTACCCAGTGTGTGATGCCAGCACGTGCCACCCATCACTAGGACCCATTGCCCACTGGCCAGGAGCTCAGCCCCGTGTTTAGGGTGAGAAACCGCCAAACCAATTCCAGACCATCCTGAGGGTCTGTGTCTTGAGGCCACTCCTGGTACCAAGTGCTACACGAGGCAGGGTCCAGGCAAAAAGCTGAAACTACACAGGTATCTCGACAGTGAGGATTTAGTGTGGGGTGTTCATTAAACAGGTGCTGGAGGACTGGAAAGACCAAAAGGGGACAGTAAGGCAGCACGGAGAGTAACTGCAGGAAGGAGCCTCATCCCAGGGCTGCGGGATGAGAGGGAAGAGGGCAGGTTGTCAGAACCTCAAAGCGCAGGAGGGTGCTGGGAGCTGAGCCGCAGATCTCTGAGAAGGGGACGCTGCCCGCTGACGCTGGTGTCTCTGAGGCTGGTCCAGAAGTGCAAAAACACAAAACCCAGTTGGAGGCAGCGACTAACCTTTGCTGCAGGGTCAAGGCCATCAGTAGGATAACACTAAGAGAAACAGCAAAGCCGAGGGGAAGGAGCAAGTCCCCCCCCCCCCGCCGGCCCCCAGCCTTCCAGCCTTACTCTTGAACTCACATCGGCAGAGCCTGACGGGAAATCCCTGGCAAAAGAGAAACGTGTGCAGAGTCCCAGCTCCAGCGTCACAAGGCAGAGCATGGAGGGGTGGGTTCGGGGCTGAGACAGGAGCCCAGGTTGAAGTTTGAGGTAACTAGGGCAGTGTTGGTCATGACAACAAAGGAGATGCGGGCTGGAGACACAGAGAATGATGTAAGGAAAGAAGAGGCTGACTGGACTTGGGAGGAAGGAAAAGGAGCCTTCAGAGGTGACCGTGGGTGAAGTCTGGGGACATCGAGAGTGGTGAAGAGAACAAGTAAGATAAATGGGTGAGACTGCTCGGGACCCAGCCTGGCTGTGGGCACTGAGATCCGGTGGGAAGCCTGACGTTCCAGTGGAAACACCCATAGGGTGTGGGAAACACAAAGCTTGGGAGAGGGATCCTGGCACGAGAAGTGACGGTCGAGGTAACGAGAGTAAGTGGGACCGAGTAGATGGGAACAGAGGACCAAGGACAGGCCCACAGGAGTGTCCACATCTGGGAGGCAGGCAGAGCAGCCGGAGGACCAGGCCGGTGCAGGGTCCCCGGGGCCAGAGGGCTGCCGGGGGCGGGATGCTGCTTCAGAGGCATCGGGGAGCGTGAGAGCTGAGGAAAAACCCCTGGGCTTGGCGACTATGAGGTCGCAGGTGACCTCGCATCGTGCCCTGGCAGATGGTACCCTCTCCAGCAAGCAGAGCACCCCCCCCCCCGCCGTCACCCCTGGGCTCAGCCTCCTCCAGGGAAGTCCTCCCCGCTGACGAAAGCCCTCATCAGCTTCTCTCCTCCCCGCACCCTCAGACGCCTTGATTCTCAGCTTGTGCTCTTTGAATTTGCACTTGTCATCTTGTTGCCCTGCACACGTGTTTTATCAGTGGTCTCGCCTTCCTGGGCTCGCTCGGCTCCCTCCTCAGCCGACACAGGAGGTTTTCCAGAAGTGTGGGTGACTCTGACTGACAGTCGGAAGCAAGAGTTATGAAATTAACCGGAACAAATCTGTAGGGAATTTCACAAGCGGGAAGAGCCAGTTTCCAACCGGATTCAGAGGCAAAATTGAAGTCGGGAGGGTGGATGCAGTCATTGCACAAGATGTGCTCTGTTTGCCCTGAGATGGATGGGTACCCGGTGAAAGTCCAGCCCACGGTCCCCCCCAGTGTCCCGGAAGGCTGCGGGGATGAAGACCTGCAGGGGCAGTGTTAGAAATGGGTCAGAAGGGTCCCTGAGCTCTAGGAGAGGAGTGGGATCTGGCGGAGAGAGGGCCGTGTTGGAATCCTAGGCAGGTTACCCAACTTCTCTAAGCCTCAATATCTTCATCTGTCAAATGAGGTTAATGATAGTCCCCGGGGGGGCAGGGGGTGAAGGCTGGGACCTGGGGGCTGGGAAGGAGCGAATGAGATTGTATGAATGGGTCCATGACAGAGGCAAAGTGAAAAGCAAGACCTGACTAGCTCACTCAGACCTGGAGGAGTTAACGTGAAATGAAATGCCACAAGTAGGCAAATAACTGTCTCCCAAGAGAAAATTATAGGTGAGAAAAGTCAAAACTGAAAAGTGAACAGGGCGGCAGGCTATCGAGGAGTCAAGTAAAGAGGCGAGTTGAAGCCGCCTGTAAAACGGGGTGAAGGTGAGACGATTGCATCGAGGGACGCAAGGCAGAAGGATGCGAGCGTGGTGATTTTGCTGAGGATCAAGGGGGTGAGAAAGCAGCAGACAGGTGTTCTGCCAGGGCGCTGGGTGATGGAGGGAGAATCAGTGTGAGACTCTCAAGGTGGAAAAGGTCTTGCAGATGAACACAGTGTGGTATCAAAGGAAGCCACGCAGAGCCACCGGTGGGGACGTGGGGAGAGTGCAGGAGAATTAAGGATGGGCACGGAGAGCCTCCAGCACCCTTGGGGGCCCGGAGAGAACTCCAGAATAAATTGCCCCTGACCACCTTGTGAAAGGTCCAGGTCTCAGACTTGAAACTGTGACATAGATCTTTAGTTTCCAGGTACCAGTTTATGGGGCTCTCCAACAACAAAGGAAAGCCGAGAAGATGGAGCCGGTAGGTATGAGACGGGCTTAGAGGAACCAGTGGCTGTTGCCGATAGACTTAGAGGAGAGGCCCTGGGAAGATGGGCCCGCAGTGGTCGCAGATGGGTTACCAGGAGGTGGAGGTGGAAAATGTCACTTGGAAATGGGCTTCAGGATGGCAAATGTAGCCCCTGACATTTTGTTTCTCCTAAATGTAGAAACCCACCCAACTCTCCCCCTCTCCCCCCCACCCCAGAAAAGTATGCAGGATTCTCAGGATGGACGCTGTAAACTCAAAGTGGTTCCATTAGAGAACTGAACCTGTAAGTCTGTACCTGGTCACACACTTCCTTACCTTCAAGACTTCAAAGTAATTTCAAGTTTGAAAGGGACAGGTTTTCCCCGTCGGGTGTGTTTCAGTGGAAGAGTGTCAGTTCTATTTCCAATGCTCAGAAGCCCTCCTTCAGCTCTGTTACCTTCTGGGTGGGCTTCTGTAGATGAAAGGATTAGCCCGGAAGAAAAGAGACTGGCCATCATGGGTTTGGAAGATCGGTCTCACAGACCCGCTGCCCTGCCAGCGACCCCGGAGCAAGTTCCCTTGAGAATCAATCACCTTTTCCCTGAGAACTCATTGAGGTTTTCGGTTTCTAGACCAGCGTTCTGGAATGGGAGAGCCTCCAGTCAGCTTAGGATGAAAGCGGTGTTTTTCTTCTACTCTGATCTCACAGGAGACCCAACCGTGGGCAAGACCGCCCTGGCCCAGATCTTCCGCAGCGACGGAGCCCATTTCCAGAAGAACTACACCCTGGTGAGATGTGGGCATCATAGGCCTGGCGGGGGCTTAAAGACAAGTGATCAGATAACCCTGGGGCAGCGACTTTCCAAATGTCCTTAAGAAGCCCTAAGAGGCCTGACCGTACGGCCATAAGCCACGGGGCACAGGGCAGTGTGTGGAGCAGACTGGCCGGTGGTTGGCTGGTCACCGTGTACAGTTCGCTCGTGGGCAGGGGGTTGGATGAGACTAGGGCGTCTCTGACTTCCACACCAGAAGTGAGTCCAGAGCACAGACACTGGAGCCGGAGACATGCATCCCCTTGGGACCCCTGACGTGCGTGTTCTCCCTTTTCCTCCACAGACAACAGGGGTGGATCTGGTGGTGAAGACGGTGCCAGTCCCTGACACAGGGGACAGTGTGGTGAGTGGTGCCCTCGCCTCAAGGGGGCTCAGTGCTGCCCCAGCTGTGCCCGAGGGCTCCGTGGTCACGGAGCGAGGCAGTGCTGTCACCAGGGCAGTGATTTCCTCCGTTCTTGCCTTCTCAAGGGAGAGATTTCAGTCGAGAGACATAGAATGGTTTTAAGTACTAAGAGTTTTCTTAAGCAGAGCAAGAGTGCACTCCCAAGAACGAATTAGAGTGGGCTGTCTGGAAACCAGAAGCAGCCCGCAGTGGGGTAGGGTTGGGCTTTTGAGAGTGGTGGTCCCTCCCTGTGTCCTGCATCATTTGACTGACAAGTTGATTGACAGCTTTAGGTCCCGTAACTTTTCTCCTAGTGCACAGGCGCTTGCGCACGAGCACCCAAACCACAATGCTAATGTATTACAACTACGGCATAATGAACCCCAGGTTACCTTGAGGCACCTTTTAGGTCTTGGTGCACCTGCACCGACCTGTGCTGGTAGGTTTATCTTGCTTGGTCCTGATAAGGCTGGTGGTCCTTGACTAGAAGAGGGAGGATCTCTGGGTGGGTTCTGATCACTAGTGTCCAGGTTGGGGAGGGAAAGATGACCCCATCCACGATGGGGCAAGACCCACCCATGTCTGACTAGCTACCTAAAAGTGCCAGGACTTGGCCTAGACTTGTCTGAGCATTCAGGAACAGGCTGGGGGGAACACGGGAAGCATCGTATGGAAGGGATGAGGAAGAAGACGTGAGGAAGACTGGGCTCTGGATCTTACCCTCAGAACTTACCGAGTATTGAGGTTCCTAACCTGGGTCCCTCTGTGGGAAGCGTCGACCCTTGAAATTGAATTGCAAGATGCTAGGTTTGCATGTGCTTTTCTGGAGAGAAGCCTTGAGAATTGCTAGATTCTTAAAGAGGTCCATGAGCAAAAAGCAATTTTAAGTACCCTGGATACAGTGAGAAGGGGTAAGATGAATGCACCGACAGCCAATGTGCAAAGCAGAGGAGGTCGCTGACCTTCAGACAGCATGAGCCAGAGGCCCGAGCCAGCAGGAAATTAACGGGGAACTTAGGGTAGACTTCCTAGAATGGCAGCATTGGGGAGGGGCTCTCACCTGGGCCGGTGAAGGTTCGGACACGGGCAGGAAGGGTCATCCTGCGCCCTCTGCTAGAATCACACCGCAGCCACCCAGAACCATGACAGACTGTCCTGCTTTAAATGCCTTCCCCAGGCCTCCTCGGTGACCTCCTTTAAAAAGGATCGTTTTAAGATTTGAAAATCAATTTCGTTAACAAAGTGCAGAATGCCCTTTTGGAAAACAGAGCACTTGTCAGCCTGTCTAGCATTCTGTTCTGCCAGGTGGGAAGTCGGCTTGTTCCTGGTAGTTTTGCACTCGGGGTTAGGAGGGGTGAGATGCCGCCCAGAAAGAGCCAGTTGGGGTGGGAAACCATTGTTCCTCCTCCCACCGTCTTCCTCGTGCCTCGGACACAAGACAAATGTGTGTGCACGTGCGTGTGTCACCCCGAAGGTGCGCCGGGAGTCCTAGCAGGGATTTGCAGACGGGTTTCCCCACGTGCAGGCTTTCCTGGGACCTGTCTTTCTGATTCCAGGAACTCTTCATTCTTGACTCGGCCGGCAAGGAGCTGTTTTCTGAAATGCTGGATAAACTGGCAAGTAGCATTCAGTCTTTTTCCTATCACCACCACCTCCCGCCAAAGGTTTGCCCCTTAACAATGCCCTCACAGGAATTTCACTTCACTGCAGCCACCAGGAGAAGCTACCATGGCAACATCCTGTAAGGGGCATTCCTCCCAGCCTTGGGGTTGGTGGCCCCTTGGCAGGTAGGAGCAGCTCTGGCATGTGATTCGTGATTGCTTCCCCCCCGGCCCTGGAATGGCTGACTCCCAATGCACCAGAGCTGTGCACCTCGGTCCTCGCAGCCCCCCACTCCGGGGCCTCCCGTCTCTGGAGCAACCCCCTCCTGGGGGTGTTCTTTCAGCCCTCCTCCGCCTCCTGGGTCTGGAGCAAAGTTTTCCTTCCCCGCTAGGGGGTGCCCTAGAGGCCCCACAGTGAGGCTTACCTTCCCAGCCCACCCCCTGGTCCCACCTAGGATTGCTCTGGGACCTGCCCCTGCTGCCCCCAGGCTCCTCCAGCCCGCGCAGCCTTCCTCTTAGGATCCAGCTTGCTGTACCTTCCAAGGTAATGGTTCTGCTAATGTGGGCCAGTGAGCTACTTAGAAGGTTTGAGGTCTCCAGAGCCCTCCCCTGCCTTTCCAAGAACAGCTACATTTTAATAGAAACTGTTTGCTGCCACCCTTTTTTTTCGCCTAAGAGAAATAGATCTAATGATGGTAATTTCACACAGGGCTGGCCTCACACGTCAGTTCTTGGTGTTTTCCCACGCGGCTCCCTTGTACACTGTCCGGCGCTGCCCAGCGGAAGAGATGATGTGTCTGGACAAGTCAGGGTCCTACGCTGCCCATGCTGGGTCCCCTCACTGGGGCCTGGAGGAAGGAGGTCTCTCCTGCATGTGCACAGGGGTGGTCAGTGTGACTCTAGCTAGAGCTCTGTAGTCTGTGGAGTGAAGGTGTGAAGGGATCATCAATTTAATCCAAGCTCCTCCCATCCTGGGCACCTCCAGGAGGGGAGGCAGTGTTGCCTCAGGGGCAGGAGGGTGAGGCCTCCGGAGCCAGTTCTGGGCTGGCCTTCCAAGGACAGCTGGAGGGAAAAGGATTCTCCCTCACACCCTGGGAGGTGACAACACCCCAGAGATGAACCAGCCTCTAATTGTGCAGGATGGGGGTCCCCAGAGACCGGGGCATCGCCAAGAGTCACACGCACCAGGACTAGCCTCACAGCCTATCAGGGCTGCCCCGCGGCCCCGTGCCAGGCAGCAGGATGGCCCAGGGGTCTGAGCAGCCCCTGAAGGCGCCAGCCCCTGAGAGCATAGCACTGGTTCTTCATTGGGACAGCGAACCCTGTGCAGTTGCTGGTCTGGTTTGCAGGAGAAGCAGGAAGTGCCCTTTGCCTTTTGAAAAGCCGGCCCTTATTAGGAAAATGTACGCAAACCAGCTTCCAGGGAGTGGCTAATGAAAAAAGGATGCTCTTTCAGGCCTGCAAAGCAGAAAACATGTCACCTTGCGTAATAGTGGGCCCTCTATGAGAATGAGTAGAAGAATGAGTTAATGGAACCGGGGCAGGCAAAGCGTTTCTGGGTAGAGAAAGCCTCAGCCCCACCCTGGTGTTTAAAGCCCGTGTGACTTGGGCAAGTCAGTTACCCTCTCTGAACTCAGTTTCTTCAGCTACACAGTAGGGGTCTTCAGACCAGCCCTGCAAAGCTGGGAGGTTTCACGATGATGCCCAGAAAACGCCTGGCACGGACGCGAGCTCTCACCCTCACCGTCGCCATCCCAGACCTAGGCCTTCCCCGCCGCTTCGCCCAGCCCTCCCATTCATTCCTGTGGGTGAATCCTTTTCTTCTGTGGATGTGGCTCTGTTTTCTGATTCACATCCCCTTTAGAATTTTTCACTTCCCTCTGCCCACGTGTCCCTTCCCTTAGAAGGCCACATTTCCTCCCAGTCTAGAAGTCACTTTCGCTGTCAGTGACGTGTCCCCATCCTGTCCCCCTTGCACAGTGGGAGAGTCCCAACGTCTTGTGTCTCGTCTACGACGTGACCAACGAGCAGTCCTTCGCCAACTGCAGCAAGTGGCTGGAGAAGGCTCGGTCACAGATGCCAGGCGCCACCCTCCCAGGTACGAGCTGCAGGCATCCGGGGTTCCCAGCAGCACCTCTGACCTTCAAGTTCAAGAGCGCAAGGTCACTGCAGAAATGGCTGTGGGTGCAGAAAAAGGGTGCCCTGGTCTTTGAGTGTGATGGTCTAGACCGTACCCTGACTCTGCCTTGGCAACCACGGAAACCTCAGTGAGTTGCCCCACCTCTGTGAGTCTATAAAATGGGCCTGCTGACGCCCCCCGGCAGGGTTACGGGGTGACTCAGGATAATAAGGGGGAAGGTGCTGTGATAGGAATATGAGTTGTTATTTCCGGAAAGCTAACCCCAGGGAAGCAGTCCTCATTTTCTCCTGTATGTGGGGCACCAGTAAACATGCAAGGCCCGTTTTCACTTCTGAATGCTCTCAATCAGTTTATTTTTCATCCCTATGTGAGATCAACAAATTCTCCTCATTAGAGACCAGGGAAAGCGATCTCCAGAGACAGGCTCAAAAATTAGCCGCAGCGGATGCAGCTGGCAACAGAACCAAATTACCTCTGAATGCCTGACTCTGAGCCCAGCCCTCAGATTAGCGTTAATGACCGTTTTGAAAGTTTGCTCCATGTGCTAGAAGTGATCGCAAATGCTCACATCAGTTTGGTCCTCGCCCTCACGGTTTGCAGCCTTAGGGAGAGGAGGCGGACAGGTACCCAGGAGGTCTAGCGGAGGGGCTGAGCGAAAGCTGCAGGTGCAAAGTGCCGGCCTCCCGCTCCACTGCGGCCCTCGGGGGCCGGTGCGGGGTCTCCGGTCGTGCTCATCACCTCGGATCAGGGAGCCTCTCTCAGATGAGGTTTTACACACCTCAGAATTAGGCTGCTTGCTCTTTTGTCTCTCCAGCTGTCCTCCCAGACGGCCACGGTTAAATGCGACGCTCCGATTGTTTCTCTCGAGCAGGTGTACTGGTGGGGAACAAGACAGACCTGGCCAGCAGGCGAGTGGTGGAGTCGGCCCAGACCCGGGCATGGGCACTGGGCCAAGGCCTGGAATGTTTTGAAACATCCGTGGTAAGTATTTCCGCCTGCACCGTAGCCAAGTCTGGAGCAGACCTCGGCTGGAAGCGGTTTCTCACATGACCTCCCATGCATCGAGTTGTTAGTCCACCATATGCAGAGCCTAATTCGGAGCTGATGTTTACACCCTTAGCCCAAGATCTCTTCTCAGTATAGCAGGAGTCACTCGTGGGTTACAAACAAGCAGCTCAGCCAGCCAGCCGGCCCTGGGAAAAGCTGCATCTCAATTAGGAAGGAACACAAGTGTACTGTGTTCAGTTACAGTGACACTTGATGTTGGCATGAGACATCTTGGGTTACAGTGTTGTTGGCACACTATTTCATAGACTCTCAAAATCAGCCCCATGATCCAGGAGCTGGCCCCCATTCCCCACTTTGTGTTGGGGTGAAGTGACTGGCCCGTGAGTCACGCTGACTCCCGAAGGGCTGAGCCAGGACTAGGATCCCTGACTTCTGGTTCCCGTGCTCCCTGCCCCCACCGTGCCGGAGCCCCAGGGTGACACCAGGCCATAGAGTGTCTCCGGTATATTCAGCAAGAGCCCTTGGGAAGGGGGACGGTCAGAGGGATTTGTTCCCGGCCCCTTCAGTACCCGATAATCATGATTTGGGCATGTTCACAGTATTGTGGGAAGCTCCCTCCTATGTGGGGAGTTCTGAGGTCCCAGCCTCCCTGCAGCCAGGGTGCAGGCACGTGACCCAGGCTACACCAATCAGAAACACTCGTGTGCTACTATGGAAGGGGCGTGACCCAGGCTACACCAATCAGAAACACTCGTGTGCTACTATGGAAGGGGGTCAAGAGAAGACACCCCCCCTCTGCGGGAGCCGCCCAGAAACGCCCACTTCAGAGCCAGCAGGGACCAAGGTGCCAGCTGCAGTGCCCCTTCCTGGGGTCGCTGGGGAGACTTGCCATGTCCAGCGCAGCCTGAAACGTCCATGGTGGTAACGTGGACTTCATTCCTGGCCTTGTGGCCTCCGGCCCCGACTGATTCCTTCCCAGAGAGTCAGTGGGCTACTTAACAAATAGCCCTGAGGTCGTTTTCTACTCAAACTCTCCTTAAGCTACAGGCACCCTTGTTGCCGCATCTGTGAAATTTGACAAATGCTGCTATTCAGTTGCCGTATGGACGTGAATTTCTTAAACCCCCTCAAAGCGGCATGCTTCCTTAGGGAAAGCAGCGAGTGCAGGCAGGTGCTCTGACCTCCGATGGTGAATAGCGGGACTAGCTGTGGGCCGCTCGGGGTGTTACTTAACCTGTTGGTGCCTCAGGTTCCTCACCTATAAAGTGGGGATAGTAAAATATATCCCTCATTGAGTAATAGATATGGGAATTAAGTCAGATGGTGAATATAAAAGCACTTAGCACGAAGTCTGAGGCATCGTAAATGCTCAGTCAATGTTAGCTCTTTTAAATATAAATATTCCCTCTAGTAATCTCATTTATGCTATCATTAGTCACTAAATCCTTGTATTCCTAGATTGTGCAGAGATAAATGTCAGTTTTGCCTCTGGTCCAACGATCACAAATGCTAAATTAGTGAAGTTCCAATTAGCAGGCTTTTACTATATAGAGGGTTGCCCATCTCTTGTGCAGGACACCTTTGAGCAAAGCAGTGAGCTGTACCACCCACAGCAAACATTATCTTCCTATTCCGTCCTCCTCCATTCACATTTATGAAGTTGCCTCCTTACCCCAATATCCCACGTTCCCTGGAACTCTTGACGGAACTCAGAAATTAACACCCACTCCCAACACTTCCATCACCAAAGGCCACCTGGCTGCATGTTTAAACTCTGGTTAGGTGTTTGCCACTACACGATTGAAATGGGAGGGTATAAATGATGTCTGACGAGGCTGCAGTTAAGCACTTGGTATTAACTGTGCAGGTTAACTAGTCCCCCCCTGAGTTGATGCCAACAAAAGCACCACCCAGCAGCTCGGTTAAGAAAGCTGTAATTAAAAAGGAGATATAACCAAATGCCATTTGAAACGCAGCTAAGTCCTGACACCAAGCCCATCTCCTCCTCTCTTTCTAAATGCAGCCATAATTGTCCTGCAGACCTAAAGGAGGTACCTACATGGCCATTTGACTTTCTTTTTTCTTTATAATTCCATCCCCAGAACATACTCATTTTAAAACTGGAGGTTTTGTACCCTTTGACCACTTTCACCCGTTTCTCCCACCCCCGTCCCCACCACCCCTGGCAACCACCAGTCTACTCTCTGTTTCTGAGTTTGTTTTTTGTTAGATTCCACACATAAGTGAGAACATAACAATATTTATCTTTCTCGGCTGGCTTATTTCACTTAACATAATATCCTCAGGGTTCATCCACGTTGTCACAAGTGGCAGGATTTCCATCTTTCTTATGGCTGAATAGTATTCATGTGTGTGTGTGTGTGTACCACATTGTCTTTATCCATTCATTCATCAGTGTACACTCAGGTTGTTTCCATGTCTTGACTACTGTCATGACTATTCTCTTGGCAGTGAAGATGGGGATGCAGCTCTCTCTCCAAGGAAGTGATTTCGTTTCCTTTGGTTACACACTCAGAAGTGGGATTGCCGGACCATGTGGCAGCTCTATTTTTAATTTTTGAGGAACCTCCATACTGTTCTCCGTAGTGGCTGCACCAATTTTCATACCCACCAACAGTGCACAAGGGTTCCCTTTTCTCCACATCCTTACCAACACTTACCTCTTGTCTTTTTGATGATAGCCATCCTCACAGGTGTGAGGTGACATCTCATTGTGGTTGATTTGCATTTCCCTGACGGTTAGTAATTATGAGTACCTTTTCAGGTACTTGTTGGCCGTTCGAGTATCTTCTTTGTAAAAATATCTGTTATTCGTCTTTGCCCATTTTTTAATCAGAGTATTTGTGTTTTTGCTGTTGAGTTGCACAAATTCCTTGTATGTTTTGGATATCAACCCCTTATCAGATGTGTGGTTTGCAAATATTTTCTCTCATTCTGCAGGTTGCCTTTTCATTTTGTTGATGGTTTCCTTTGCTGTGCAGAAGCTTTCTGGTTGGTGTAGTCCCACTTATTGATTTATACTTTTGTTGCTTGTGCTTTTGTTGTCATATTCATAAAATTATTGCCAAAACTACTGACAAGGATCTTTTTCCCAATGTTTTCTTCTAGGAGTTTTTTTGGTTTCAGGTCTTAAGTTCAACTGTTTGATCCATTTTGAGTTAATTTCTGGGAGGTGTAAAATAGGAATCCAGTGTCATCCTTTTGCATGTGAATATCCAGTTTTCCCAGCACCATTTATTGAAGAGATTATCTTTTCTCCATTGAGTATTCCTGACTCCACTGTCAAATATTAGATGACCATATATGTGGGGCAATTATTTCTGGGCTCTCAATTCTGTTCCATTGGTCTTCGTGTCTGTTTTTATGCCAGGACCGTATTGTTTTGATTATTATAGCTTTGTAATAGGGTTTGAAATCAAAAAATGTGATGCCTCCAACTTTGTTCTCTTTCAGGATTACTTTGGCTATTCGAGGTCTTTGTGGTTTCTCTTTGACTTTCTAACACCCCTCAATATTTGGCATTTGCACACCAAAAAATTTAAGAGCATTTCTTTAAACAGCAGTTAAAATGCACTGTTTATTACTGCAAGAAGTTGGACAGTATTAAATAAAAGCGAGTTCAGGGAAGATCCATAGGGATGGCTTCCCTTGCAGGAAGGTGAGGGGAAGGGAACTGAGGTTTGTTGAGCACCTACTGTGTGCTAAGTGTCTTGCACGCATTATCTATTTAGGCTTCCAGCAGTCCTGCTGCTATCCGTATCTCACTGATGACAAACAGACTCAGAAAGACTGTGTTGCTTTCCCTGGTTGCCCAGCTAATGAGCAGTGGAACCAGAACTAGAACACAGGCCAGCCTGTCCAGCTCGATAACCTTCTAGAAGGGGCTCTGGCCTCCCACAGAGCCTACTTTGGGAGTCTCAGGGGCAGAATTCTAGGCCAGATTAAGCACTAGTCTGAGCCTGCTCTGAAGATTCTTCACGCAGAGCAGACCTACTCTACAGCTGTCAAACGATGTCAGCAAGATTATGATTCATCATTTAACAAAAGCATTCCTATCATTAGCAAGCCCTCCTAATGCATTTGGAAAACGGTTCTGTTTACATCTGCTATTTCAGGAGCACTCCATGTGTATAAAGAACTTGCCTCCATTGAATCCCCTACTTTTTATGTTGCGTTCTCCGAAGATCTGGCTTTCAAGAGCTTTCAGACTCAGTTAGAAATCCTTGTGCATGTGCCTTGCAGTCCTCATTCTCTTCCCATTCAATGCTTAACTATACTTGCAACTGACGTAACGTTTTGCTATTTGACTTTGGCGTAGCCTAGGACGTTATGCTCTGTACAGTCAAAAGTGTCTTGCGAATATAACTGAGTTATTCTTCTTACGTCCTGCTGAAGAGTGACAGCCTTCCGGTCCCTGGCAGTCATGAGTTGAGTATAGACACTCGTCTGGGCCACCAGCTGTCCTCTCATTTCTCAGCACCCTCTCAGCGCTGCCGCCTCTGGTTCTGCTCTTGGTGACTTCTCTCCTCCACCCTTGGGACAGGAAGTCCGGTAACTTTCTGCAGGAACTGGTTTCCTTTTGCGTGCTTCTGTCACCCCAGCTGGCAGAGTGAAAAGGCTGCTCTTCTCAAATTTGGGGCATCTGAATTCTAGACTGGGCTCTGCGTAAAACAGCTGGGCCACTGCACCCCTGGGCCCCAGACTGCTGTCTAGAAAACAAAGGCACTGAGCTTGACGACTTCGTTCCATCCTTTGGTTTGGAAATCCTTCCGTTTTGTTGGGGATATTTCATTACCTCTTATCAAGGCTGCACTTTTGCCGCCAGCTACGGATTGTTTGAAAATCCGTACACACAGGCTCTTGTGCATTCATAGTTTGAGCTACTGTCTTGAAAGTAGTGGGTGCTTTCTTCTGCCAACTTATTTCTTTAAAAAAATTGAAAATACCCGTGGATGCGCACATAGAGAGTGAGAAACGATAGCTAAGTGGAGAGGGTACCATTTTCTTTCTCCCAGAGCCTGTCAGGCTCACCCTATAGGGCTGGTTCTTCCTACCAGATGAAGAAAACCTAGGGCAACTTCCAGAACTTTTCTGATCTCTCTCAGATAATAAAAACATCCTTTGGTCACCTTTAGTCACAAAATTATTCATTATTTCACTTATTAAAATGCCCAGTCCTGAGTGACTGTCAGAATTCGTAAAGTCAGCTTCGCCTCCTGAGCCTGCTGTGGGAAGCAGGGCCAGGCTGCTGCATCTGTGTTTCTGGACCTGTGCTTCCCCACCAGCTCACTTCTGCTGGGACCTGCTGTGGCCCCTCTGGACTTGCCAGGTGTCAGAGATGCCCTCCCTGCGCCCATCAGGGGCGCTTTCTCACCTGCGGCTTCCACCTCACAGGTGACACCTCCTCAGGCTAGGACACCTCCTCACCTTTCCTGTGACCTCAATTCCGGGCCGTCCATTCTTGTTGGGACCCATCACCCTCCTGGAGGCTGTCCCCGCGGAGTCCCTTTAAGACAGCTCCAGGCTGGGCTTCCGCTGGGCCCGCCGCTGGTCCAGGGAAGTGTTGCTGCAGCCCCAGTTTGACAGAGGAGGCATTGCAGGCCATCCCCAGTCTGCACTCTCCTGCTTGGCCATCCAGACAGCCAACCCCAGCCTCACCCTGATGCTTCCCAGGCCCGGGTCCAGCACTGGCCTGAGTCCCCGGGCTGCAGGCTTCCTCTTGGGACCCTCCCACTGACCTCAGGATGAGGGAGAAGCGCCCGCATCCTGGGGGAAATGCCACAGCGCTCCCCGACCTCCATCCTGTCTGCTCCTCCCTCCAGAGTGTGGAGGTCCTTGCCATCGGTTGTTTTGCCTTGACCTTTGGGGCCTCAGTCAAAACTAAGCAAGAGTGAGTCTCATTTTAACATCCTGTCACACACACAGAGAGAGTGGCTAAAAGTACAGGCTCTGCGGGAACAGGTCTAGGTTCAGACCCAGCTCCATCACGGGCAAGTGTGTGGCTTTCGGCACGTGACCTTAACCTCTCCACGTCTCAGTTTCCTTCTTGTAAAACGGGACGAATGGTAGTAGCTGCCCTGAGTGGTGGGGGTGGTGGGAAGGAGAAGTTGGGGCAGAGGGCGGAGCACCTGGCAGGAGGGAAGAGCGGGCGATGCCAGCTCTCTGTGACAGTCCTAAAACCAACCAACTGACTTCTTCAATTTGTCTCTCCAGAAGGAGATGGAAAACTACAAAGCCCCCTTCCACTACCTGGCCAAGCAGTTTCACCACCTGTACCGGGAGAAGCTGGAGGTTTTCCAGGCGCTGGTGTGAGGGGCTGGCTGGACCATTCCCCGCGCTGGAACCTGGCCGCGGGCTCCGTCTCCTCGGGAGATGGGAGAAGATAGAGTGGCCTGAGCCCTTCCAATCTATCGTGACAGCTTTAAATAAAATGAGAAAAATGGAGAAGCAGCAGCTCATTCCGCTCTTGGTCGGGGCAGCCCTGGTGCCCCTTTACACTTTGGCTGCTGCTTCCAGAGCAGCCTCCAGTGGCGGGAGCTGGTACTTGTGACAGTGGGTGTCCTGCCCTCCCCGAAGGACCTCCCCGCAAGAGCCCACCCCATGCCGTAGTTGAGGTGCTCAGCTTGGAATCTGCCACGTGGCCAGGGGGCTGATGGCCCTCTCCTTATTCTAGCAGATTGGACTTTGCTGCCTGTCCCGCTGTCCACCTTGCTCCTCAGCCAGAGCTCCCTGGTGATGGCTACTGTCCCTGGCAAAAACAGTGCCCCCTGCCGGCTGCCCTGGGTGCCTCTTCTTGATAAAGACCCAGCCCCTCCCAGCTGCCGGGAACCCTGAGCTTGGCACCCAGGGAGCCAAGAACGAGGCCACTTTCCTTTAATGACCCTCCTCTCAGCAAGCCGGGAAGCGGTCATAATTCTTTGCACTGAGCTTGACTGTTTTCCATCCTGTCTCTGCTGCCAGATTAATCTTCCTAAAACACCACTTTCATCATTTCACTCCCCTGATTGAAGACCCATAGAAGTTCCTCGTCGCCCCTTACATCAGGGCTGCAGGCCGAGGTCTGGCATTGACTGTCACCCTCACCCGGGGGTCTCAGCTCCTTTCAGCTCCAGGGCCCCAGAGGGTCATCACCCTCTTTCAGTCGCCCTCTTGGTGGGAGTGGGGGTGCTGTGCAGGGTGCTGGCTTTGGCGGTAGGCAGATTCTGGGTCTGTCCCAGTGATAGCAGTCATAATGGAAATTAACTCTGGTTCCTGTTTATGACCTGCCATGTCTCTACATGAGCTGAGCACGTTACACGTGTTAGCTAATTTAACCCTTACAACGTGGAGTCTCGCCGTCCCACTTTTACAACTGAGGAACCAGAGTCAGGATCATGGACGCCAGAGCCCGGCCCACGGCCGCCGCCTCCCTGCATCCGCCTGAGCTTGGCCGGGAGGAAGTGGAGGTGGTGGCTCGGTTGCCCCTCGAGGTCACTGTGAGAAGTGAGATAACACGTGAAGGGCATCGGCCACGTATCGACCACCTCAGGCCCCTCCCATCCCCCCTCCTGTTACTTCTCAACACAAACTCACTGTAGCCACAGCCATCTTCCCAGTGAGTCATTTCTTTCGGAAGATAAGGGCCTGCAATTTGCCGGGCATTTTCCTAGGCACTGGTCACGTCAAGCTGTGGGTCTCTGGGCCCATGTTCCGGAAGGGAAGATCTACAGTAAGCAACCAAGGAGACACGGAGGGGACATTTCCAGTTGCCCCAGAATTGGTTACCGGGACCCAAGGCTGTGGCCAAAGAGATGCTAAGAAACCCACTTCCTAAAGAGATCACAAAAGGCTGGGGCCAGACACCTTCCCCGGGGCATCCTGGAGCTGCCTCGCCTCTCCACTCCTTGCTCTTTGCTGTTTATATAAGAAGATCGAGGGGGGACAGTGTTGGTGGATGGGTACCACTCCCTCTCCGGCCCCACCCCCAGAACCAGGCACTGGAGACCCCAGGAGAATCCTCGTAAGACGAGACAGCCGAGAAGAGGAGGCTGGCACCTTGCTCCCCAGCTGCATGCTCGCAGAGCTGCAGGAGCCTGGTGCCAACTGCAGGGACAGGGTGTTGAGGGCGTCCTTGGGGGAGCTTGGCACGCATCCCCTAGCCTTGTGCCTGGCTCCCTCCAGGTTGGGGGGTGCAGAAGCCTGCGCCACCAGCAGGGGAAGCAGGTGCTCCCACCTCCGCTGTTCATGGCCCCCAGGGGGCTAACGTGGGGACCCACACAGAGGGTGAGACGCTGAGGGCAAAGTGTCGGTCCCTGTTCTGGGAAATGGGGACTTGGAGAGTAAAACAAAAATCCCTACCCTCAGGGTGCTTACATTCTAATGGGGTGGGAAAGAGGTTCACTTAGGGAAATCCAGGGGTCTGATGGATGGTAACAGAGCAGGGCGTGCAGAGGGTGTGCCAGGGAGGGGGTAGCAGTATGAAATAGGGAGGTTAGAAAGGATACCCCTGAGAAGGGGACATTTCAGCAAGATCTGAGAGGGCAGAATGTCTGGCCCCTCTCGGTGTGGTTGATTTCATAGGCCCCTCAGAAGTGGAAAGCCCGCCTTCCACTTTCTCTACCTGGCGGCTGGCACTGGGTCTGAGCTGCGTGCATGGACTTCTGGGGGATCTGGAGATGGTTGGGACTCAGTCCCTGCCCTAGAATCACCTACAAGCCACAGAAGAGAAAGATGAGCCAACACTTCACTTCTAAACCCCAGTGGAGGGTTTCCCTGGTGGCACAGTGGTTGAGAGTCCGCCTGCCGATGCAGGGGACACGGGTTCGTGCCCTGGTCCGGGAAGATCCCACATGCCGCGGAGCGGCTGGGCCCGTGAGCCATGGCTGCTGAGCCTGCGCGTCCGGAGCCTGTGCTCCGCAACGGGAGAGGCCACAACAGTGAGAGGCCCGCGTACCGCAAAAAAAATAAACCCCAGTGGAACCCCAAAAGCATAGGCGCCAGGGTCCCCCACTGCTGTGGACGAGCGCAGGAGCTGAGCGCTTCTCCTGCTGTCTTTGGGACATTCCCTGTCCTCCACGGTTTCCTTCCTTCTGTGAGGAATGATCTGAGGCAGGGGCCTGGCCTCTTTCTGTTCACTCCCTGGCTCTGTGAAGCCGACCCTTCTGCGGTACCTTTTGCTGCCTGCTGACATCACTTGGGTTCACCCACCAAGAGGGCAGAGAAGCCTGGGTGAGTGGGAGTGTGGGAACACAGCAGGGCCTATCGTGTTTTGGAGTGGTCGCTTAGAAATATAGACCCCAGTTCCAACATGGGCCCTCAGGCACTTTACAGGCTGAGTTCTTTGTTGGGGTCCCACCCCAGAAGAGTTCCCCATTCAGGTGTGGATGGCATGTGAGACAGCCCCAGGGGGTTGTCCTGGGCCCAGTGGTTCACCCTGACACCGTTTTTGCCATGAGCACCAGCCCTTAGTTTTCCATGACTGGGAAAGTTGCCTTGGTTAGATGGTCTTCTGCGAGGAGACTCAGAGAGCAGGAAGCTACCTGCTGTAGCTAAAACACATGCATTCTGGTGCTAAAATGTGTATTTTAAAATGGTTTACTGCAAATTAAAAGTTTCCTGTCCCGACCTGGGATGGCAGTCAGAGCAGATTCAGCGGAGCCCAGGATGGGAGCTGAGAATCATGCTAACCCAGATCTCTTGAAGGAGTTTTTGATTTTGAGAGAAGCTTTTGGTTTTGCACCTGCCAATCCCATCCCTGGGTCCATCTCGGTGCGGGGGCCCTGCTGCATATCAGGATGGCTGAGGCTGTGCCGTCAAGGAGCTCAAGTCTCACAGGTAAGAAGGGTTTCCAGGGACCTCGCAGGGAAACACCCAGTGTCAACCAGGGAAAAGCATTCCAGACAAAGGGAACCACACGTGCAAAGGCCCTGAGGCATGAAGCAGGGTCCCCCTTGAGGAACTGTGCGTTGAGCACTGGGTGAGGAGTGAGGGGTACCCAGCTGGTGAAAGGTTGGAGAGAAGGCGAAACAAGAGCATGGAGGTTTGGTACATAGACCAGAGAAGTTGGACTTTTTCCAGAAAGAAATGGGAAGCTTTAAGGGTTTTAACAGAGGCGACTCACCTGGATTTCCGCCTTAGAAAGATCAGCCTGGGGGGAAATCGGTGGAGGCAGTGGGAGAGGAGGTGCTTGGAGATTAAGGAGACGAGTTCAGAGACGTCCCAGTACTCTGGCTGAGAGCTGACGGGGAAGATGTGGAGACAAGGCTTCACCCATCTCCAGCATTAACAAAAACTTTGTATTTTCAGCCCAATTTAGAATTGTCTTCTCCCCCACCCCACCCTTTTCCTCAGAACACCAACTGATTTCTCTTTTTTAAACACGTTATCCTTTATTTACTTTAGAGACAGAGAAAACACAGAGAGAGGGACTTCTTTGGGTTGCAAATTGTTAGTGATGGAGCCGGGATGAAGATCTTGGGCTTGCCAGCCCTCGGTGGATTTTATGATATTTATGTATACGATGCCCGCTCACTCTTGCTCTGCCAGTAAACAGAGCTGATCAATATGAAGAGGACAGCCACGAAGAGCTCGTTTCCATCCTAACAAGGCAAGAGGACTGGGAAGATTCATCAGGAGAAAGTATCGAACAGCCAGTGTCTGAGTTTTACCTGTGATGTGACGGGGGAGAAAGTGCATTTTTGCGGAAGCCTTTACGTAACTGTCCTAGGGACAGAGGGGGTGACTCCAGAATGGAGCATGGTGGCAAGCGACCAGGAGAGCAAAGACAGTGTCGGTTCCTAGCAGGCAAGAACCACATCGGATACTCCTTATTGGCCCTCTAGAAGCATCTGGGGTTTAGTGGAAAAAGCAATGGTTTCACGTCAGAAGAATGGAATTAGAATTGCTGCTGTGTGTCTCCAGGCAAGGCACTCACCCTCTCTGATGGCCAGCACCAGCTTCCCTGTTATCAAATGGGGATGACAGCATCAACCTTACATATTATCGTGTGTAGATTGAGATGTGTAAAACCTCCTTCTACAAAGCATGGTGTATTAAAAAATCCAGGTGATTTCCAAAATTTCTTTACTGGCTTTTTTATGAGCATAAAAGTAATGTATGGTTATTGCCAAAATAAAGTCAGAAACTATTATAAAATATAAAGAAGAAAATGGAAATTACTCAACTCCTTCCATCCAGAAATAGCCACCATTAACATTCTGGTGTG